CCTAAACCCTAAACCCTGCTTCAAATTCCGACCTTCACCCCACTGGGCGGCAAGGTGGAGATCAATCCAGGGGCTGCCAACGCAGCCTCGTGCAATGTCGGCAACAAGACCCCTTCTATAGAGCCCCTACTGTGTAAGGGACTTTAATAATTAGAATAGGGTTTTGGGGGGTCCTTTGAAGGGTTCGATAAGGGCTAGTATAAGGGTTTAGGGTTTAGGGGCCTTAATAATTAAAATAAGGTTTTGGGACATATTATACTATATTCACAATAAGGAACCCCTAAAATAGTATAGGTAATTATTTAGGCCCCTATTTTAGGGTCTTACAGGCACCACCAGTCACCCATTTAGGGCACCCTCCCTGAGACCGTCCTGTCCTGCAGCAAACCGACAACCTCTTGGAGGTCGATGCATTCAAGAAGCAGCTCCTTACAGACAGTCCAAACATCTCCGATTCATCCCCAATGACTTTTGAGTTGTTCGCACTGTTTCTTGGAATTGACATGCATGAACTGGAAATATACCTTCTCTAGCAACTAGTACCACTGCAAGCACATCGCAGTCAAGGTCCTGAACTGAACATCATGAACCAGCATATATCACAAGCTTCCATGCCGCCTCCATTCTCTTCGTGATTGCTTGAGCGAAGTCGCAATGGCTCTGCCAGAACTCCTAGAGGCCGAACACATGTGTAAAGGACGCAAGCAGCTTCTGAACCTCTTGCAACACTTCGCATGCAGGTGGCAAGTGCCTGAGTCCCAGCCCACATCTCCAAGATCTCAGCCAGAGTTTCAGGCCTGATGGTGAGATGCGCGCATCACACAGGGCGGGATCAGAAGTAGCTCAGCCGTCAGTCAGATCTAGCATTGCTAAGCGGCCGGCTGGCAGTACTGGACCGATTCGGTCAAGTCCTACGATACATACCACGGAACATCCTTCTGCTGAATGTTCTCTGCAAAGTCACGTCCACTCTGAAGTCCTGAATGACTAGCTCCTGAAGCTCTTCGAGATGGTCGGTCCAATATGGTGCCATCCTCTTGGCCTAGACCAGGCCAGATACAAACAGCGCTGCATCGAAAGGACCCTCCACGCGCCCAGCGCCTCTGCTTTCACACAGCTCAGAACATCGGAAAGTTGGACCAGGCGCTGCCTGGTCTCAGCACACTCTCTATACGGAGGAGATGCTGTGCATTCCATAGCAGTATCAGACATGAGCCAGCTCATGCCACTCGGATGAAAGCAGAATGCACGCAAAGACCACCGACAACTTGAACAAAAGTTATCAACGTGGGTATTGTATGTCATGACATTTTAAGGTACGGACACGCTCAGTTCGGCCGATGCCACCAACAGTCGCCATTGCTGATGAACCTGGCACGGCGCAGTCAACAATGGTGCGCGAAATCGCGTGACAGGGCTTTGCCTTGTGTAGGCCTTTGGAAAGGAATGCAGTGGAGCTTTGTGAAAGCACCAGCCTCCGGAATGCCTGCAGCTTGGATACAGCTGCCCTCCGTCTCGCAGAGAGAACTATGGCTTCCGAGAACCAGACCCAAAGGAACACGATCAGCTCTTCAGTTCTGAGAAGATCAAAGCGGTTGCTGAGATAAGAAGCCACCTGACAAAATGCTCTGAGCGACTACGCCTGTGAAGTGCGTGTATCAGGGACAAGCTAGCGCATCTGAGATTTTCGCGTCCCTGGCGAATACGGCCGTATTCACCAGCTCCGGATTCAGGCCGAGAGACCTCTCAACCGCCGAAAAATCACGGCTGCGGTCCGGTGCAGGGGCTCATGATTGCAGCGATTGGAGCCCGGCACAGCCAAGCTCAAGATCTGCTGCACAGATATGGCGCCTGTGGGATTCTCCTTGAGTGCATGCGCTCTCGTGTGCCACCACACGAATTTGCATCCAATAGAATTCTCTCCCAGTTATGCGGCTTTCGGCCATTCACCAAGCATCCCAAAACAAAAGCAACCGCAACAATCATCTCATCCGATGTAATTCATCCGCCTTCTCCTTTCGCAGCCGCAGAAGCCACTGAGTAAGAAGGACCCGCACTGCCTCCTCTCTGTCCTGACGTTGAGGCTAATAACGAGCTGGGAGACCGCAGATTAATTGTCTCTACGGCCAGCTAAAAACTAGGGCTACCTGGCGCTCTATCTGACAAATCTGTTCCACTTGATTTTTTTTGTGTATGAAACCACCAACCATCCCATGGTGTATCACGCTTCTGCAGCCGGCTGGCCTCGATCGGCAGAGGCACACGGCAGATCGTGGCCAGGATTGGTGGGATCAGCCTGGGCTGCTACGGCCCCTCCCGTCACTCTTCCTTGCCCTAAACCCTGGAAGCAGAGATTCTTAGCCTAAACCCTAAACCCTAAACCCTTGGTACCTGGCTCCGGCTCAAAGCTGCTGGCAGCCTGCTGCGCCCGACGGGCAAGTGCCTGCACTGAAAGCAGTACTTCGAGAGTTCACTAAGGCTTGGCTGTCGTTGAGATGAGTCTCAAGTCTCAACTAATCACCAGCAGCAAGCTGAGCATGCCATTTTGACACCGGAGCCCTTTTGGGTCTTTGTGTAGGCTGTGGATGCACTCAGTCCAGGTCCAGGTTGACTTCCTCTTCTTCATCAACATGTCCTGGAGGAACCTCCACGCAGCAACAGCAAAGGAGCGCAACAGGGAGCTCGTTCCGCACAGCAACGCGATTGAGCTTTCTGCGGGCCTCCGCATCGTCTTTTGTGGCATCCTTTTGCACATCGCTTGTGATCCGAAGCACTACCAGCTATTCCCTGCAACAGCCTCCGTCTGCTCGGCAGGGCGCTTGCCGACTCGCTCCACTCGATTTCCCGACCTCCCATGCCTCAGATGAACAGTGCAAGGCTTGGCACACTTCTGACCAATTGTCTTCACACCTTGACCCAACCATTACACCTGCACATGTGGGTGTTGATCAATATTTCTTCATCTGGATCTGGTTTCTTCGAAGAATAATGCTTTCCTTTCTCGGGACTTTCGCCTTGTCGTGCGCACGACAAAACCGTAATAGCCATAGTACTACTGCTAGTACTAGTCCTTTTTCTAGTACTAGTACTAGTACTAGTATTCGTACTGTTAACCGGAACAGCAACAGGAATAGCAATGATAATAGTAATCGTAATCTTAATAATAATGGGAATAGCCAGTGCTAGTAGCAGTAGTAGTAGTAGTAGTAGTAGTAGTAGTAGCAGTAGTAGCAGTAGTAGTAGTAGTAGTAGTGGTGGTGGTGGTGGTGGTAGAAACAGTAGTAGTAGTAGTCGTCGTCGTCGTAGTAGTAGTAGTAGTAGTGGTAGTGCTAGTGGTAGTGGTAGTGGTAGTAGTGGTAGTGGTAGTAGTAGTAGTCGTCGTCGTGGGAGTGGGAGTGGGAGTGTGAGGAGTAGGAGTCGCAGTGGGAGTGGGAGGAGTGGGAGGACCCGGAGGAGTAGTAGCAGTAGTAGTGGTAGTAGTAGTAGTAGTAGTAGTAGTAGTAGGAGGCCTCCCCCATCTACCAACTACCTCTCCTAAACACTGTTTAAGAGCACCACATCAATTTTACTCGGTATTTACAGTACTTTCGTGATGTCGTAGTCCAATACCAAACACTGCTGTTGAGGGGTGCGGGGGGCGGTGGTGGTGGTGATGATGTACTTTTTAAGAGCACATCCATTTCATTCGGTATTTACAGTACTTTCGTGATGTTGTAGTCAATACCAACGATGATGATGACGATGGGCTTAGGTGCCAGGTAGTTGGTAGAGGGGCAGGGTGGCTAGTAAAAGTAGTGAGGATGGAACGGAGGAGGCGGGAAGCCCAGGGAGGGGGTAGACATACTACTACTACTACTACTACTAATAATAATAATAATGACAATAATAGTAATAATAAACAATAATAATGAAATACTGACAATAGTAACACGAACAATAATGATAACAATGGCAATGCTTATGCTAACGTGTGGGGAGCGGGTGGGGAAGGGAAGTGCAGGCCTTTGCATGTGTTCAGCACTTCTTGCAAAGGGTCTGTGGAGCGGTGGGGAGGGGGGGAGGGGGCGACGGTAGGGTCTGTGGACACAGGGAGGAGTGTGGGAGGGGAGGGGACGTGAAAGGCCGCAGATAGTGTAGTTCCGTAAAAGAAAGAATAGGATTTGTTCTTATTCTTGCACCCCGCCTCCCTCGAAGTTAGCATTATGTCTACAATGTCGGGGAAGACAGGCAGGGAAGAGAGGGAGCACTCCCTTAGGTAATAACAGGATGCTTTCTTGCACGCCCCTCCCCGAAATTACGATTATCTCGATGATGTCGGGGAAGAAAGGGTCGGAAAAGAGCACACCCCTTTATACCCAGTATCATCATTAAACTGTTAACAGGATCATTATCGCATTTTTTCGTCGGTCTCCTGGAAGAAGAGAAGAATGCTCATACCGCGCCACGGGGCACACCAAAAAAAATAACAACAAAGGCCCAGGAAGTTGCTCAGTGTTTGCGTGCTTCCTGCAGAAGCCAGCAGAACAGGTCCAAAAAAATTGTACTTGCACATGCACGAGGAAAGCAAGCATCATGAGTCGCGACAGCTCCCAAAAAATTATGTGCGCACGCGCGGCGGGGACCCTGGAGCAGCACAGGAAAATTACAAGTAGCATCAGAAGTCACCAACAAAGGCCCCGCAAAAAATGTGTGCCCGATGCATGCCCCCCTAAACCCTACCCTCAACCCCAAACCGATGCGCGCGCCGGGAGTGCGCAACCTAAACCCAAACCGTAAACCCTAATTCGGTCGAGACCGCGCGCGCCGGGCGTGGCCCGAAACCCAAGTCGCTAAACCCTGATCCTGAACCTACGCGCGCGCCGTAAACCCTAAACCCTAAAACGATGCATTCGGGCGCGCATAACCTCAACCCTAAACCCTACTCATAACCCTAAACGCAAACTCCTAAACCCTAAACCGACGCGCGTGCAGGGCGTGCGTTTGACCAGTTTGATCTTGACCACTTGCAACAGCCGTACCACTTCTAGCAATTCTGGTGGTTTTGCGCGGCGACTAGCGCAGAATCTGTCGCTCAAAACCTACTACATTGCTGTCGTGCTCTGACGCTGAGGCTGGGTGTACAAGTACAATTGCATTTAGGCCTGAACGTCTTGAGTATAATGGCATGTTCTCTATACCTCTGGTATGCCCAAATCTGTTACGTGAAACTTGATGCGGATTATTGCTTTCCTCATGCACAAGACCATCCCCGCCACATCACTATGAAATGGATGGAGTCCATGTGGCCCAGAACCCTCTCTGCCCGGCCCCAGAGTTCATGCTCCTTGACTCCCGTGTGTTCACAAGAACGCCTTCTGTGAGAATCAAGTCTTTGCCACATTCTGGCACGCGGCATCCTAGAGCAGCTGGACAGCCCGGCAGCGCAACTATTTTTTGCGGTGCGCCGGCTTGACAAAAGCTGACACATTAAGGCAGCAGGCTACAGCGTTCGCAGTCCCTCACCTGCTCTTATCCTCGTAATCTCTCACAGACTAGGTGCACACAACCATGCTCCTGCAATTCTAATTCTTGAGTACTGTAAGCACCCCTGCATCCAGCTCTGCCCTTGCTGCCAACGAGCGGCGACCCCTCACGAACCGTGTAAGCCTTGACAGTGGCAGACTCCTCCGGTATAACAGCTGCCAGGACTTTGGCGGCCAATGCTTCTGCTCGCAGTCCCGTAGCTGCTAAAAGAGTTGGAGAGCCTTGGCCCCTGGTGGCCATGACCACGGGGGGCTTATCGCGAAACCCAAACCTCTGTGCCAGGCTTCGAAGACCTTTCTTGGTCTCCAAGGGCTCCCAGCAGTGAACACGCGCCACACGCACACCTCTTGGCCGGAGCAACTCGGCAGCGGCCTGTAAAACTGAAGGAGGTTTAGTAGCTGCGGTTTTCGATGTAACGCAGGAGACTAACCAAGCGTGGCCCCCAAAGAAGATGTCCTGCACTTGCTTGGAGTCTCCAGGTGGCACGACGCGGACCAGTGGGTCTGCCCAATCTTTTGCAGTCATGAAAAAAGTTGCCACTGCTGGCCCCACAATCAGAACAAGGAATATCAAACTTAGCCAGGTCTTTCTTTGCTGCAGATTGGATGGCTCCTCGTCCAAGTCTTTGTTGGCCCGAGCATACTCCTCTTCGAAGGTGGCCTCAGATTTCGATCTGCTCTCGTACTGGTTCAGCGGATCGAACGACGATCCTGCACAATGGCAGGCACCTGCAGGTGCTGAAGGTGAATGGGGTGGCATGGTAGTTTAGTTTGCAACACCTTTGCCCTATCATGTATCGTCTTGCTGACAAAGCTATGGCTTCAAACTCCCACAGCGAAGCACTGCCGAAGCTTATGACAGAAAGCAGCTATGGGTGACTAAGGGGTTGAAGTCGACGTCTACCCTAGGCGCCGCTGAGTGAGGTTGCACCTGTCTTCCTCGCACGCAGGCCCGCATCCTCCGAAGGCGCAACAGGCGAGTCGTCTTCCTCGGGATCAGCGTCGAAGGCGTCGACTTCGGCTAGCCGCAGGTTGCCAGGGCGCACCTCGGCACAGTTGTAAACCGACATGCTTCTGGCAGGTGATGGCACGCGGCACGTGATGGCACATGGGTTCACAGGATGGCACATGGCCAGGGCACGGCCAGGCTTTTGCCAGAACCCAGTCGCACTGCGACTCTGCCTTCTGGGCCACCTTCCTCCACCGTTCCGACAAGGCCATTCAACTCGACTTGTCGGAGACCAACCAAAACCACCAAACTGCCACAAGGAGGTTCTTCGAGGCTTTCGGTCTCAGCCTGTGGACGGCGACTTGCCATCAGGCTCCAAGCAAATTACAGTTGAGAGTATCTACAACTTCTGCCCGGCCTTGAAGTCTTCTGAGCTGCTCCCATCGTTTGAAGAGCCGTGCCCCTCCATATCGGCAGCCACTCCGTGCACTTGAAGGCTTTAGCCAGGTGATTCGTTCTGAAAACGATTCTGCAAATCTGGTGTATTCACCCTTGCCTTGCTGTTTGATGAACGCCTGCGCCAGAGGTGGTTCGCTTGTTGCGTTAATGTGCTTCAAAGTTTCCATGCAAGTTGTCTACAGCAGCAGGACTTGCTGGCGAGAAGACACCACGGACATGCACAAGTTGTACTCGTAGAGGAGGACACGTATGCTCCAAAGCATTGTCTACATGACTTCCATGCCTGGTAGGGTCTCTCCTGCTTCACTCCGCTCTTGCGGAATGCGTCCATCAAGCTGACCAGCACCTATGAAGCTCCAGCCACTGCCCGTGCTCAGGTATCCATGCTACACGAGCCTGTGAAGACATCGGTTCCGAGGTGTTTGTAACGACGCGCGCTGCGGACTTCCAGAACCGACTGTCCTGCGTGCAAGAGAGGTCAAGCTGCCAATGTCAGAGATTCCAACTCCTCAATGTTGTACTTGGCAAAAGCGGTAATGTAGAAGGACACACGCCGCATATCCAGCCTGAGAGTGCTGCCAGCCAAACAAGCATCTGGAGGTCGCAAGCTGCTCAACCATGGACCAAGGGAAATTCGAAGGACTCAGGCAGAGGAAGAATGCCTACACAAATTCCTTACCTACTGACCGCCTTGGCCTTGCCTGCCTGAACATGCCCGTCGACATTTACATCACGCGACTGGAAACGACTGCAATATCTCCTTCACTGCGCACCTCGCAAGCTCTTCGGAGACAGTCGCCACTATCACGTCCGACAGCTCCTCTGCCGCAGGGTGTCCCACCTGGATTCACATTGACATGCCACAGTCTAGACGATGAATCGCATGAATCGATGAACCCCTGCTCTGCCTACAAGAAGGACTACTTCCTATCTCTGAGACACTACTTCTTACTTAATGCGCCAGCCGCCCTTCAAAGCTCGAGAGACCATGCCTGTCTGCAGAACGTGATGGCAGCAGCCGTCTCCTGCCAAATAGAATTACTGCTCTCTCGAGATCTTGGCTTCTAAGTTCAAGGCGCTTGAGTCGCCGTGCATCTACGAACGCATCGCCATCTAAGTCGAGGAGTTGTGCCAAGCGTTTCAGAACATCGGAGCTGAACACTGCATCTGAGAAAGTCTTGCAGGGCAGCTTTGTATCTTCTTCAGAATTGGGCAACCCCTCGTTGGTTTTACTTTGGGAGTTCTGGAATTGTCAGGGTCGTGGCCTGTTCTGAAGGGTAGTTCCATCTTCACACTACTGCTTCAAGTGATGGAACTCATAACTCTATCATTCCCTAAATGTGGAGCGCCTTGCAGGTGATAAGCTGCAAGTTGTAATACAGCTGGCACGACGCTATCGCCTTGACAGGGCCAATGGCACCAGACGGACCATGACAGCACAAGCGAAATCTGATGTCTTGCCTTCTGCAGATACGCGTGGAGCCTTGCATCACCGCGGGCCTCACTGCCTGAATATTGTGTGTTCCGAATGGCAACACTTGTCACGGATCCGTTGTTTTGAGTGTCAGGCGTGGCAGCTCCAAAACCTGTGCCAGAAGTGGTGCCATGCGATGCGGATTGAAGTAGTGGGAGTTGTATTCCAGAACGTCCCACAGACCGGCATCCTGGCTGCCCGCTCGGGGAAGAGAACTTCTCAAACTTGGCACAGCTGATGTTGCTGCCGCATTCCGTACCACAAGCTTCAGCAAGCGGTTGCCAAACCGCAGAGTGCGCAAACACGTCGTCATGCGAGAGTCGGAAACGTGACCAGTCGCGAATGCAATGCATGCAGTCGATGCTGCCAGCTTACAGTGCGAGGACCAACCATAGCTCGTCTCGGCATCTCCATGGCAGCAGGTGGATTCGCCCAACCCTCTGTAGAATTTTCATGAGGGGCTGATTAAAAAAGCCTACATCAGCTGCCTGTATCACCATGACATACTGCTCGTAAACAAAGTGCTGTCTGTGCCTGAAACTAAATGAACTTGCCTGCGCCCCGCATGTGAGTGCAACATCTCTCCACTGGTGGTGCTTGTGCAATCCTGGAGCAGTTTGCTACGTACACAACACACTAGCTTTTTGCTTTCCTGCTTATTTGTATCGTCTATCTCTCTCATTCTTTTGTCTTGTGGGCCACTGAGCAAACAATAAGGGTCACGGCACCGGCGGGCGGATCCTTAAGCCTGGTGAAGGATAAACAAAGAAAGAGCTGTGATCCCACAAACGTCATCTCGTGTTCCTTCCTTCCTTTAACATGGAACGACACCGAAGATGGGTGGTGCGACGCACGTTACGTTGCAAACCCTCAGCAGCTGGGGGGCCGCCCCGGTCACCAACCACTGCAGTGGTACATTCCACCCCAGTTTAAAACATGTTCGAGATGTTTCGCAGCATTGCAACCGCTCTCCCCGCCATGCTGCTCCACAGAACGATCAGCTGACTTTGACACATTTCGCCAAAGAATGGCGGAGTGATTAGCTGGCTTTGGAACATTACTGTCATAGCACTGGCCCGAATCTGCGTGCGTTGTACAGCAACGAGGGTCCAGACTGCTAACAAACACGAAATTTTAGCCTGGGAGAGAGCGACTGGAGGCTTGTAATGAGATCAAAGTGCCTGTGGCCAGTCACTTTAGGTTACGCATGATCAGGATGCCCGTTGGGGACCCTCCAAAGCCTTTGCCTGCGAGGTCCCCGCCAGACCCAGTCAATCCTTTGGGGACATTGACAGCACGTTCAGCAGCGGCGCTCAGTACTGCTGTTTTGGGCAGCATTTGTCCGCTTCTTCCTTCGAAGAATTTCGCTGCTCTTCGTACGTTTTGCTCGGCTGTCCATCTTCCACAAACGGCGTGGAAAAGCCTCCATACCATCAACTTCGCATCTAGGAGGTTCTCCTTCTGGATCTGCCGATCTATCTGCTCCTTAGACCTGTGGCTGTGGCCTCGTGGGCGAACACCACAGCTCCTGGTCGTCCGGCTGGTCCGTAGGGCGTACTTCAGGTTCTGCGGAGGAGTCCCGGTCCCAGTCCGATTCATCATGAGTCATCACCTCCTTGATCCTCGTTTTGCTTCGCGCCTTCCTGAGCGGTTCATCCCGGACCTTTTTCTCTCGTTGGTGCATGGGTGTAGCTAGATGTAGCTAGTGCACCAATGCTTTGAGGCCAGTGTTGTCAGTCTCTCTTGGCCTCAGCAGACAGGGCTCTTGCTTGGTTTGGAGGGGGGAGATCTCCCGGAACACTTGGTGCGTTGAGACACGCTGCGGTTCCTCCTGGTTAGTGTAGGCTTGCAATTGATGATGTCAAGGAGTGTTGCTTCCGTGTCCGGATCGAAGCACCCGGGGTTGGGGGGCTCTCCCCTGTCTCGTTCGGCCTGTTGTGGCGTGGGTGCTGTAGAGGAAGAGGTCCTGACGACGAGGAGCTGTAGAGTTGTGGTTCTCTCTTCTTCCTCTTCCGTTTTGGCTCACTCTTCCGTGGGGCTCGGGGTGTTGCCCGTGGTTCAGTTTGCTCCACTTGTCGCAGCGTTTGGCCTTCATACCGAGCAAAGATGAGCTCCTGCTGGTGTAAGTATTTTCTGACGTCGTGGCATGCAGTTAGGCTGACCCCAAACAGCACGCATTTGATGTGTCTCGTTGGTGCCTATCTTGCCCGGAGGGACCTTTAAGGCATCGCTGCCAAACTGTTCCTGAATCCTCAGCCTTGGTGTCGAGGCATCCACAGCTGACCTCACGCCACTTGTCAAAGTCACTTCCACAGGGCTTAGGGGACTGTCGAGGTCCCGCGGCCTATTGGCCCCCCATATGTTATGGGGCTTTGAAGGGACGTGAAAACAGGATTGGGTTGGACATCAGGATGAGAATTGTTGCATGCTCTCTCTCTCTCTCTCTCTGTCTCTCTCTTTCTTCTCTCTCGCTCTCGCTCGGTCTCTCTCTCGCTCGGTCAAGCGAAAAGCGTAAGTGATGCGACACGCTTCGACTGTGCAAGTGGGTACGCAGTGAATGCCCTTTCGCGTGTGTGACGGAGGCGGCCGGGACGCTTTTTAACGACACACGCTGACATGAAGCCTGCATGCAGCATGTCTTCGGCTGAGAGCCTGCTTGGCAGACTCACACCAGCAGTCGGCATCGCATTTCACACCGTGAGGAGCACCTATGCTCAGCTCACGCCTTGCGTGCTGACATGAAAGATCCTTTTGACATGGATGGCTTGAAAGAATAATCAGTTGTTACCGCGCTGCGCTGGTACTGTACAACCAACCCGCGAATTGCATACGTCTTGATTGTGGGGCCGTCATGGCCCAAAATCTTCTGAAGCTCTTTGAATAGCTCAGCCCTTGCCTCTGCCAGAACCTCCGCTAGCCTTGCTGGACGTCCGACTTCGGGAACGCACCGCGGCACCCTCTGGCACCTGGACTAAACAAATTCGAGATGGCCGGACGAAGCTCGAGATGCCTGAGAACAGGACCGCCACGCCGGTCACGGTACCGAGGAAATTCTGGGGCGACGTGTTCAGCACACCTCCGCAATGAAAAGCTCAGCCGCGATTGACATGTTATCGACATTTATCGACCTGAAGACATGTACCTGTTCAAAAGACTTCAACAGTCAAGATTCTTCGTCCAGCTTGGAAGCACAGCCAAGCGTTCTGCGGAGGATCCTTGCTCTGGCGCTTCGCAACTCACTCAAAGAGCCCCTTTGCTGTAATCTAGTTCGTCTGAATAGTACAGTTCAAACTGCGGCCTCTCGCTCGTGAGCATCACAACATGCACTTTGCAAGGCTGTGCGCATGCATGCTGTGCTTCGAATGCAAATGCAAGCATCAGCATCAAAGACGACCTCCTTCTCTGTTATTCTTGGAGCACCCGCTGGAGGCAGGCGTGGATGGGGAAGCCTCAAAGTGCCAAGCTAATTTCAAACCATTCGGAAAGGCATCTCCTCAAAATGCGTGATGCACACAATGTCACAATACCAAAAGCAACACACTTCAGCGCGGAAGAGGCGGGCTAGCTAGAACAAGTGTGTATCAAGCTTTCCCTGCGTTTTCTGAGCCCGGGTCTTCAAGACGCTGTTAAATGAAGGCCGTGCAAGTGTTCGGCTTGCTACAGGACAGGCCCTCGAGACCAGGGCTTCTGGTAATCTCAGTCAGTCAGTGGCAAGACCGGTAGCTTGTTGGCATTAGGTGTCCGAGACCTCTTAGCCTACTGTCACAACAGAATGCCTTCAACAACCAGAGAACTCTACTCTATCAGGCCCCAAAGTTTCATGGTAGTTAGTTTTTCAATTATGCAAGGTTTCTGGCTTTTCCGCCACCGCGGATGCTTGCCACAAACCGAAGTGAGGGATCTACTCGGATGCCGAAGGGTCTCAAAGCATGAGAAGATACGCGTTACCTGGCCGTTTCTGGTATCGAGACGAAGCCACGAACAAACGCCCAACCAAGAGAAGCTCTCCCCGAACCAGACATTATTTTGCCTGGAGATGGAAATTTGAAGCAGGCGAACCTTCAAAACAAAGGCTACGAAACAAAGCCCCAAACGTGGTGTTGCCAACACCGGTTCATGCCATCCAAAGCCCAGAAACAAAGCACGAGACAGTACCATCGAAGCTAAGGTGAGGTCATGGCAGTTGGCCGAGAGACTGCACAAGCACTCGTCTGCTGGTCTTCTTCTCATCCCTGACGTAGTGCTCGATGACGAGCTTTGGCAAGCCAAGGTCGCTCTTGAAGTGTACCGTCATATGGCACGGGTAAGCCCGCGCCATGGCGTACTCAAAAGTGAAGCCCAGGGACTTGTCGCTCGGCTCTTTGGCCGTTGATGTCGGCTTGCTATAGCCAGGGTTTATGTTGAAATCGACTCTCGCCACGCAGCCCTCCTTCGGCACACTGCCGTCTACCGAAGCAACCTTCAGAAAAGTGGTGTATGAACGCTTGCTTCCACGCCCGCTGGATGTGTTGCCGTACTGGAGAAGTATACGCTGTGCACTCTGTCGGAGGTCCGTCAGCTGCTGCAGCAATTGCTGCTGATCTTCCATCTCAGGGCTTCCAGTGGAGGTCAGTGCCTCCACTTTGGCCAGAAGACCTGGTGACACATCTGACACCGGCTTGCCACCCTTCACGTCCACAGGCAAGCCACATGCTGGGCACTCTCGCATGTACCGCACTGTAATCTCAGCACAGCATCCGCACAGCGCACAGCGACAAGCTTGCAAGCGGATGGGCTGCACCAGCAGTTTGCGACAGAGGTCACAATGACTTTGAGAGGCCTCCATTTCAAGCATCGCAGCTGCTTCTTTCTCTTCACGTGCTTGTCGCTCTTCATCGTCTTCATCATCGTTTTCGTCTGCTCCTTCGAACAGAGGGAGTAGTGCCCGGCCGACATCGGTTCTGGCTGGTGGATCTTCAGTAACTTCAGTATCAGCCCGGACTTCAGGAAGCGTGCCCGGAGCTTCAGTGGCAGCCTTCTTCTCCGAAGGCGCGCCCAGGCGCTCTACCACAACTTGTGCACCAGGCGGACGCACACGGGATATCCTGCCAGAAAGAAGGTTCTCGTAGACAATCGTGTTGGTACTGGGATCAAGCCTGGCTCGCCAGCTGTTTTCACTGACATCTGTCTTGGCCTCAGCTGGCTCATCCTCGGCATCGTAGCCACCCCAGGGCTCAAACTCGACACCATGTCTGCCGTTCCAGCTGTGGAAGCCGCCTGCAATGCGCGTCAAGTCTGGAAGATCCTTGTCTCTGCGCCCGCCGAGCCTTTTACTCTTCCAGCTTTGGTAGCTCTCCCGCAGCATTGAAATCATCTCCTCTCCCATGTGATGGCACTCCCAATCTCCATCTTTTGACCGCGTAAACTCAAAGTAACGAGGGTTTGGGAGGTGTCGCCGCATTTGCCGGCCAACACTCACAGGATGCCCGTCATCCTCTGTATCGAAAATCAGAAGGGAAGGTTGAGCAATAGCTCCATACCGATGTGGAGCGTGCCCGACAGGGTGGCAAACAGCAATAGTATGCATCAGTTTAGGACACTCCAGTGCGCAGTTCAAAGCAGCACATGCTCCTTGGCTTGATCCGACGAGACAAGCCACCGTCTTGCGGCCCAATGCTCGAACAATATTGGAGATGAGTGATCCTGGATACGATCGAATGCTTTGCCGATCACCTGGCGAGCGCCCGTAGCCAGGACAGTCAATGGCGACATGGAAGTAGCTTCTCGGACAGTCGGCCGTGCCTGCGATCTGCACAGCGTCCGCTAGCATGCGCACATGCTCTAAATCGTTTGACAAGGACAGCAACTACTACCATGGATTACCATGGACCATGCTTCGAATCTGAGGACTAAGGTCCCAAAGTTCGTGATCCCTGAAGCCTTTGCCAGGGAAGTGTGAATTATCGCAGGTGCCACTAAGCTGAAGAGATCTTGCCTGCACTGGCCAGAGTTGCAACATCGATCACAAGCTTACTCCAGAAGTTTGAGCTGTTGCATGGCCCCGACCCGTGAACATAGAGGATCAGGGGGTCTGCTGGGTCTCCCACGCAGCGCGCAAACACATCGCCGAAGTCAGCAGTCTCGATCCAAATAGAGCGACGGTTCAGAGAGACGTCATCATCTTCAATATCTGTCAGCATTGGATCAGTTTCAAGCTCTGTTGTAACAGTGGCAGCTTCCGGCTTCAGCACCACGCTCCGAGCACTGGTTGCGTACTTCAGGGTTTGCATGGTGAGGGCAGCTTCGATCTCTGCCGGACTTATGCACGCTAGCATCTGGGTCTCCGCTCTGCCACCCAAACTGCTCTGCATAAGTCGTGTGAGGGTCGAATCTCTGTAGGGCACTCGTTCTGAGCCTTCAGCAAGAGCTCGAATGACTCGACCCAATACAAGCAAGCCCATGTTCGTGCCAACACCGGCAGCATCCACGCTCCCACCATGGGAACGTTCCATCGATTCGGCACCGGCAAGGTCCACCAAAGTGAAGCGTGCTGTCTGCGAACGGTACCTGAGCGGCGAAGGGAGCTCACGTCACAGGAAGAGAGCGTAGAACCAACATACAGACCTTCACTTATAAAAAAACAAACTGCTTTCCAACATCATGTGCCATGAGTGCTTTTGCGGATCGGTTTCTGCAACGTCTCGCCAGCGATGCTCAACGGACATGATAAGGAGGGCATGAGACCTCGATGAATGTGCGTGGACTCCGGTTGCTGCGGTAGCGCGAGCTTTGGCACCCTGAGCGACAACATCCAGTAGCTGCTCACAGGACCGAATCTTTTCCTCCTTGGCCCCATCGGCGTAAACTCGCCCATCAGTTGTCTCGCGGAGCTGACATGAGCCCGAGGCATCTCTGGAGGCAGACACAGGTCCACTCAGCAAATCAAACGCATTCTCGCAAAAAACTTCTAAGAAGGACACCCGCACTTCATATGCAGAAAACCCGCCGGATCCGATTGCAGCTTTGGCCTCCGCCTCAAGTCGTGCGATGCGCCTGAAAAGCTCAGCTGCCGCCCTCGGAAGAATTCCATCCTGCTTTGCTTGCTTGCGTCCACCCTCTGGCCCAAGCATGGAATGCGTTTTGCCCGCACCAGTGCACCCAAATGCAAAAATGCAAGCATTCGTCCCATTGATGACAGCATCCACCAGCGGCAGGGCACAGAACGAGTACACCTCACTTGTCACTTGCCACGCAGCAACGCAGCGATGAAAGAAACGCTCGAGCCAAGCTCCACGACTCAGCCCTTCACCTCATGCTGAGTGGCCTCCTCGGCAAACCAAGTTGTGCATCCCTACATGCTCCAACGGATCACAGACAACAACTTGGCAATCAAGCGGCGGGTCCAAAGACCTTGTCGAATGCAAACTGCTTCGAGTCTGAGCCTTCCTTAGCTTGCAGGGTCAAGCCGTCTACTGCCTCAGCCGCAGGTGCGCCCGCTTTCCCATCGTGTGGTTGCGGAGGGCGGATGCGCACGGCCACTTGCAGTGGACGAGTCGCCATGGCGATGAATAAAGAACTTGTAACTTAATAATTAGAATAGGGTTTTTGGGCCCAATATACTATAATTGTATCAAGGAACCCCCAAAATGGTATTAATAAGTAACTTGTGGGACGACAGAATAATTGCATTTTAAGAGGTCGGAATGTGGTTTGACGTGCTGCAATCTTGCAATGACAGCGACGGGTCTAGACCCTAGAATCTACTGCGTTGCCTGATACCGGGAGCGGAGACTTTGTATGACTTTGTCAGAATTCTGGGTCTGCAAAATCAAGTATCATCAATTATCAAGATGGAAGACACTTGCAGGGTCAAGGGCTTGAGCATGATCAGGGGTAGTTTGGACACTTGCAAAACTGTCCTAGAGTACAGGCCTGTTGACCCTGCAATCTGCATTTTCTGGAGTTGAGAGGGCATCGCGGCGGATCGACTCTTCTCGACCCTGAAGTCGCGCCCACTCAGCCTTGGCTTGGCTTAGGGTTGCAGTCCACGCGAAACGACCAGCACCTGTTAAGGAGAGGGCCTGAAGCAGATACTTGAGCTGATCCTCCGGGCTGCAGCATTCCGACGCTGCAGGCGCAGGTGACAAGGAAGCGCTAGCCTGATCCGTGCATGATGCCAGAATCTGTTTCCGGAAATCAACAGCGAAATGATACATCTTGCGGCGCTGCACCAAGGGAGGAAGCTGCCACAGGGTCTCCGAAGTGTGTGCACACCTTCAAGACTCTTCGAATAGGACAAGCGAAAGAAGAAAAACACAAGAGCTATGCTGTTTTAGGAACTCGTCCCATCATGCGCACCCGGACTGCACGAACAAAATTTGGGGACTTTTCAAGCTGTGTTGAGAGGTGACGCTCAGCGTGAAAATCATCAACGGACGCTTAGTGCATCCTCTTTGCCAAGCACAGCTCAAACTCGGCAGAAGACTTTTCCTACAGGCCCACAACACTGCATGCATTGAAAGCCCCTGCTAAATGGCAGCAGCTCTGCTTGAAGGTCAGTTCCTCTACTGCAACATGAGAGCTGAAGAAGTTTGAGAGCGGCTGTGATAGTGGACTTGGAGAGACCCAACTGCAGATGTGAATAGCAGTTCTCGCTTCAGCATCGTGTCATAAACACAAGATGTGCTTCACATCGAAGCAGTCACTGTTCAGGTCTCTTGGACAGGAAGATGGTCATCATTTCTCAGAATGCTCTGCAAGGCAGCGCATGGATTTTTCAGCACTTCATTCTTCTCACCTTGGCCACCGCTGAAGAATTTGCACCAGTTGCATGGACACGGCACACACCTCGCTCAGCTGAGGCTCCGTATTGAACAACACTTCCTTCGTGCACCTGGCAGGCTCAGGCTCCGATCGCCTAGAGACTCTTTTCCTGCTTCCGTCAAACCCCGAAGACCTAAGCCTAAGCCTCCGAAAAAAGGCCTAAGCCAACTTTCTGTTCATGGCGGCTCACCACGGCCACGCGATCACACCACTCCAGGGCACTCATCCTGTGCGATCTGTATGATTGCCACATCAGTCCGACAAAACAACCAAAAGACTCTTAGGTAGTGCCAAAACGGCCAACTCAAAAGCGCTGTCAAGCTTCCGGTGCGTAATGACCAGGCAGGTGCAGTCTCCCGCAGATAGAACTTCCTTCAGGGCTTTGTGCACCAGACGCTCGGATCGCAGATCCAACGCTGATGTTGCCTCGTCGAAGACCAGCATTCTCGGCTTCCGTGCCAGTGCACGGGCGATGCAAACCCGCTGCTTCTGACCCCCACTCAAGGCTTGACCTCGCTCTCCAGCAGGGGTGTCCAAGCCAAGTGGAAGATGCTCCGCGAATTCATTCACATGGGCGGCTGATGTGGATTCCAGGATCAGCCTGGTAGCACGGATATGCCCCCGATCTGTCAGCAGCCACTCAAAAAGGAGCCCGCAACAACTTCAACTGATGTGATGGATGTGTGAAGCAAATCAGGAAGATTTACACATCAGCAACAGCTTCACCGGCAAATGTGGCTTACCTACAGCTGCCGTGAGAGATCGCCTTCCCAACCGGGTCTGCTTGTTGGTGCTCTTCGACCACTTTCCATGTGAAAACTAGCGAACCAAGCAGCCTTTTCTACTTGCCATGCTGAACTGTCAAATGCATAGCATTTACTGTGAATGTGGCCTTACTTCCTCCAGCGGCACCTGACTTTCGTGAGTGACTGTGCGGGTGACTACTGCTTTCTGGAGGAAATGAATATGTCATTCCTCAAAGCGGCCCTGCGTGCCGACACCAATGCCCACCCCGGCCTCGAACGCTCTGAGGTCTCTTCGGTGTCGTTCTCATCCCCGTCCACGCCATATTCAACGTTTTCGCGGATGGTCAATGCAAAAAGTGTTGGCTCTTGGCTAATTACACCCAGCTGCGAACGCACCCAGGAAGCTGTACTGTCATCAGCATACATATCACGGTCGTCTACGAAGATTTTCCCTTGGCTGGGGGGATAGAGGCCTGCCAGAAGCAAAGCGACTGTAGACTTTCCGGAACCACTTCGCCCAAGCAACGCCACACGTGCGCCAGCAGGAATGTCCAAGCTCAAATCTTGAAGAACCGGAGTTGGCCTAGTCGGATAAGCGAAACTAACATTTTCAAACTTCACGGCCAAGGGCGGGTGCGAAGCGGAGACAGCAGAAACTATTCTGTCCGTCAGCATTGGCTGCACAGAGCTCTCAGACAAGATCTCCAAAACCTTCTGACAAGACCCAAGGCATTTCTGTATATCTCCGTATGAGGTCATGATCCCAGTGTACGCGGAGCCGGCCATGAAGCAATACATGGCAAGGCTCACGGTGGTCCCGATACTGACAACCCCACTCGTCACCATCAACCCGCAGTTGTAGATGATGTGTATCAGGAACAAGCCGCCTCCTGTGACGAAGAAGCAGGACAAGCCACCCATTGCCAAAGCGTTCTGCCAGCCTGCTTCATAGACAGAATCAAGCAGTCTTTCAAAGCCAGCCAGCTCTCGTCTCTCAGCGTTGAAAGTTCGCACAGTCCGAATTCCACCCAGTCTTTCCTCCGCACGCTGAACTGCTTCTGCCAATCTCTGCTGACGCTTCTCGGCAATACGGCGGACAACACGTCCATATCCAAATCCAACGACGAACAGGGCAGCGACCGGAGTAAGGAGACCCATAATCATTTCTGTGGGGGCCAGCTGGAAGACCATGCCTTGTCTCGCTAAGCACACTTCCGAAAAACTGCTACTTGGGACTGACTAGGAGGAGAAGGAACAACAACCCTAAACCCTAAACTCCCTAAACACTCAGAGTCGGATTCTGTCTCTTTGGATTTCAGTCCAAGGCTCAGGTGCCCACACACGCGGTGATGAGGGATCGGATACCAGCGGAGGCGTCAATGAGGACGCGGCTGGTCATGGTAATGTCGTTGCCCAAACGGTTTACGAGCTCACCGGTCTTGTTGCCGTCGAAGAAGGCGATCGGTCGTTGAACCAGTGCCCAAAAGAATTCACGCCGCAGCCGAAATGCTATTCTCTCAATGGCCGTCTCAATCAGGTACAGCCTACAAAATGTTGCAAAACCGCCTGCCACCATGACTCCGCCACAGAGCCAAGTGTGATCCATAACAAACTGAAGACCGTCCGCACCTTGCCCGAACAGGTCTACCAGCTTGCCCACCATGTAGGGGTACGACCTTGGCACCGAGTATTCCAAAAGGCAGCTAAAAGCTTTCCGTTGGCACCGAGGCCCAGACAAGTTGACGGAAGATGATGCGCACAAGGCTGCAAGTGCCAACCTGAGAGCTGAGAAGCAGCTTAAAATTTCGGGTTTAGGGTTTAGGGAAGTTTAGGGTTTACCTTTTTTTGGAATACACAGCATATCGTACAAGTAGAAGTAGCACACGTCTTCGTTCCAAAGGCCGAATCGCCCAATGGTGCACATGTTCGACAAAAGACACGCTCTTGCCGGAGTTCCGTGCTGGCCTCGTGACGGACGCCGAATTCAAAAAATCCTTTCCTTTGGCGAGACACAGAACACCGAGGTGTTTTGGACAGGAACTCATTTCCTTCGAATCCGAAATTGTCTCAAGTCGTGCCAGTGGCGCGCATGTTTTGCGGCGCGAGTCGATCGTCTTCCCACCACAGTGCAGCGCCGAGTTTGGGCTCTTTTCTCAAGCTTTTTCATGTTGCCGCCTTAGCCCTTCCCCAATCGTGCTTTCGCCAGAGTTCCGTGCACTTCGTCCTCTCGAAGCGGCAAAAACGTGGATTAGCTCTTGGCTTTCTAGGTCTAGTAGGGCTGCTATATAGGTACTCTTGGAGTGTTTGGGGTCTATGCCTCTATGATTGATCAAGGTTGCTGGAGCCGTCCCCGCTCAGGGCGAAGAATCTGCCAGAGCTGAGGCAACGATGCGGTGGTTTTCTCTTTGTCTTTGTCCTTATGTCACACGCAATCACCAATACCGCTTGACGGACAAAGCGAGCTGACATTGGCTGATAACGGCGGTTGCAGCTGTTTGCCCACGAGCGTCATCACTTGCGGGCTGACTTGGACTAGCACTGAACCTTGCCAGTACCAGGCGCTTCATTCCTTGCGGAGGGTGCATTTTGTGGTTGTAGATTCTGCATCCCGTCCAGGCGTGGCCTGTCAATTTGCTCCCGTGCTCATGATAACCCTAAACCCTAAACCCCTAAACCCTAAACCCATTGCATTAGAAAGCAGTGAGCTGCTGAAAAACACGGCAGAGCTAGACGAGAACTCGGCTGCCTCGAGCACATCGAGACGAAGCGAAGCGGTGCAGCCACATTGCAGGCTACGTGGGACTGTTCTAACTTTGAGAACAGGCCTAGACCTTTCCAGATGTGTCCTATGAGCTGCAAAGTATGAGGAAGTTGTCAGAATGTTGAAATTAAGCTGGTATGCGATGGGCTCTGACAAAGTCTCAAGCCAATGCCTGTGCCTGCCAGCTTCCATGTTCTGTCTCACAGGTGCAACAACGTGCGAAGCAGCCTGAAGAAGGCATGGTCTCCATCCCGATATCCAGTCCAAGCCGGCTCCACGGCCTTCCCCCGAGACCACACGGACGCATGCGCACGAGGGGACTACGACTCGGCTTGCACGCAGCCTCAGGAACTTGCCACACGGACCTCGACTGCTCTCTCTCAGGGGAATGCTGCGGTGAAGAGGCACGTTCGAGGCATCAGCTGGCCGCTTCGACGGTTCCTGGCGCTCTTCCACGGCAAGGTCGCTCTGAGGCGCTCATGGGCGACGCTTGTCATGCTTTGCACATGCCGGGCGTGCCAGTAGTAAGTTGGTTGGCCGAGTCGCGGAAAAGCCACCCACTGGCGAATCATGCGGTCAAGCAAGGGCTATAATGTGAGGTATAGGTGTGCTTGTTGTTAAATCCGACCATGCCGGCAGTAGTCAGTAGGCCTTACCTGAGCATGGCAGGATGCTAAATGGCGCCGTAGTTCCCGACACTGGCCAACAACCATGAGTTTTGTCCTTGAACCCAACCTGACTCATGGATGGTAGTCCGTTTTTGCCTTCAGTCAGGCGTTTCGGCCTCATCGGATGCTGGGCTCGCGCTCGCAAGCGATCGCAGCCGTGGACACCAACCAAGCCGACGCAGTGCTGTGATAACCTAGGGCACCGGCACTCATGACGTTCTGTTTTCGGCACTCTCCGACGTCGTCTGCACTGGCCTGCATGGCTTTATCCACAGCCTGCACGCTTACATCAATCTTGACCTCAGATGCCAAGCCTTCGTTTCGTTCCGAAGCCGGCCATGCTGGTAAGCTCAGGTACGGACATGGGCATCGAAGCGACTCAACTCCTCTTCATCTAACGGCTCCCAACTTTGCAGGTGTCTGTCCAAAATCACCTCAGAGATCTCCGAGATATGCTATGCCGCTATGCGAGTCGCCCATATGTTATTCGGCTACTGTGCGTACTCTGTCTGCATGCCGTGCCACTGGCAATTGTGGTGACGGGTGCAGAGAGTTGTGTGCAGGACCGCGGTGTTCGATGCGAGACCTGCGCATCACACTGCGGCTTTTTCGGTCCAGCGCTGTGCAACAGAAGCTGTTCGTCACAGGCAGGAAGCCAGGGCATCCTTTTTTCATCCCCTCCGAAAGAGAGCAGGACTTGCAGCCTTGGCTGTAAAGATCCTGCAATGGTTAGATGCGGTGCCGTGGACTGGTACTCAGTTTCCTGATTCAGTGGAAAAGCGGCCCTCGCATGTGGGGCCAGGACTGGGAAAAGCGCCAGCCTGGCCTCACGTTCAAGATCCCTGCTCAAAAGTCCCTTTGAGGGATGGCAGAGATGGGGTGTCCCGGTTTCGCTGGTTCTTGCTATGCAAGTACCAGCACCTGTCCAGCCTGCTCTGGCTTTCAGAACTGCTCTGCACATAGCCTCTTCATTTCATCTGCTTCATCTGCCCGGCCTTCCATCACATAGGTTCTCGCATGGGTTGCGACTACAGCTCTTCAGGCCGCCTGAAGACCAGGCAGGTGGTAGTGGTAGTGAATGTGCGCATGTACGATGCTCTCCTGCAGCTTGTTTTTGTTTAAGGAAGCAGGTGAAAGACTCGAACAATGCTCGTTCACATGCTGCTGAAAGCAATGCAAGTCGAACAGGAGCATGCGCTGGAGGGTTCCTCGACAAGCTCTGTGCTCTGAGACATGTGCCCCGCCTGGCAAGCGTCTCTTCACTTGATTCCGTGTTTCCCAAACATTGCTCAGCATCGAGGGGCTACACCAGCATCTAGAAGCTAGAATCGCATCAGCAATAAACCCCGGCGAGGTGAGTGAATCTCTCTCGAACAGCACAGAAAACTTTGCAAAAGGCATCAAAGCAGGCCTCCTTGTTGTGCCTCAGCTGTTGGAACGGTTGGCAATGGATACAGCCTAGATTTTTGCTGACACACCATCATGCTCCCTTGCAGCCCTCAAGAGGATCCGACACAGGCGGCAGCTGCACGGCACTTGGTTTGTAAAGCTTGGTCGGCTTGCGTGAAGGACGACCTGCATGTGTGAGCTCATACGTGGATGCTAATGCCGGCAAACCAACCCGGGGTACCGGTGAGAAACAATGAGGAAGTAAGTTGCCAAAGACATTGGGAAAGGTTACACAAGGAAAGCTTCTGCTAGTCTGCTAGTCCAGATGGTGTGATCACCCTGTCCGATAAGCCGATGGCGCTGTTTGAGCAGCATGAGGGTAAGATCGTCGCAGTACCTCAATGCTCAGGTGCTCAACAACATCTCGTCCAGGCGACTTGACTCGTGCATCGGGACACATGGCCAGATTTCGCTTGGATTTGCGAAGGGCAGGATGTGCTTTCGGAAGGATCGTCTGGCTCCTCATTGGCAGAAGACAAAGGCACCCGAGCCACAGTGGACAAACTTCAGGCACCGACCAATGGAAGGAAAACAAACCCGAGACGCCCGACATGTGGGCCACCCACACACACGCATGCGCACGCTCCCACACGGAAAGCCGTGTGCCACCAGCACTACTTGCAGCAAGCACACCAACGCCTCATCCACACCCTCCTGCCCACGCATCCAACCACATGCCGACGTGAATGCACATGCACGTATATCATACATAAATAATATCCGTATGTGTTTCTTAATATAGACATACATACATACATACATACATACATACATATATACGTATGAATATGATCCAGAATCTAGACAGGCATGCATGCAGACTTACACGCGTACGTACAGACATGCATACATACTTAGTCACACATGTACTTACATACACAAGTACCTTCATACATATATATGCTACCCCCCCTCATGTGCCTACCTTTGGTGTGTGTTTGTTGATTTTGTATACTCATGCATGTAGTATGCTTAAGAACTAACAGTTNNTGTCCCGTGAACACCCTCCAACACCAGATCACTACGATTACTGTTGGTTTCTCACTGGATAGTGCATGAACTTTAAGAGGCATTTGGAGCACAAGACTTTGAGATATACACGTTTTTCCAAACATTCCCCCAA